TTGACAGGATCTCTATGTCATCCGGGCTGGAGCGCAGTGGCACAATCATTGCTCACTGTAACCCTGAACTCCTGGGCTCAAGTGATTCTCCTGCCTGAGCCTCCCTAGTTGTTAGGACTACAAAGTGCATACCATCATGCCCAGCTAATTTTTCTATTTTTTTGTAGAGATGGGGTCTTGTTATGTTGTCCAGGATAAAAATGATGCTAATACACACTGCAGAAAGTATGTGTAACTTGATACTACCTTTGTAAAAAATGAAATATAATAGAAAATAACATATTTTTGTGTCTACACAGAGTTTATCTTTAGAAGGATACAAGCAGCTTGATGGTATTAATTCCCTCCGAAGAGGGGAATGAGTGACTAGAGGACAAGGATGGGAGGAAGACATTTTCCTGTACCCTATACATCGTTTTGTATCTTTTGAAGTTTTTTATTTTTAGAGATGGGGTCCTGCTATGTTGCCTAGTCTGGTCTCAAACTCCTGGCTTAGCCTCCCAAGTAGCTGAGACAATAGGTATGACTCACCATGCTCGGCTTCTTTTGAATTTTTAATCAAGTGAATTGCTTAGTCAATAAATAAATATTTATTACTTAAAAATCATATTAAAAGGTGCTGTCACCACAAAAGGTGATAAACAAGATCCATCATCCCAGTTTTACCAAGTAAGAACATGTTAAGAACACAAAAGAGTTGACATTAAAACATACATTTAAGGTTTTGTTTTGTACAGAGATAATAAAACTTTCCCTTCGAATTTTCAGCTGATGTATTTCTTCCTGTTTATTTTATTTTTATTTATTTTATTCTTGGCAATTACTTAACCACAAATAAACAATCATTAACTTATTAGCAACTCCATTTAAAAAACTCGTTTATCTTATGGATGGCATACATTTATCAAAACTCACAGAACAGGATAGGCAAGGTAGCTAGCTCATGCCTGTAATCTCAGCACTTTGGGAGGTCAAGGCAGGAGGACTGCTTGAGGCTAGGAGTTCAAGACCAGCCTGGGAAACATAGCAAAAAATCTCTACAAAAATTTTTTTAAAAAATTAGCCAGGTGTGGTGGTGTGCATCTATAGTCCCAACTACTTGGGAGGCTGAGGCAGTAGGATCGCTTAAGCCCAGAAGTTGGAGGTTGCAGTGAGCTATGACCGTGTCATTGCACTCCAGCCTGGGAAATAGAGCAAGACTCCAACTCTTAAAACAACAAAAACAACAAACCCCACAAAATATTTAACACCGAGTGAACCTGATATAAACTATGGACTTTGGGTGATAATGATGTAGGTTCATCAACTGTACCAAATACGCTACCTGTGGTGCAGGATGTTGGTCAGGGAGGCAGTGCATGTGTGGAGCAAGGGGTATATGGGAACTCTCTTACACTCAATTTTGCTGTGAACCAAAATTGCTCTAAAATATAAAGTCCATTTATAAAAACAAAAACAACAACAAAAACCCCTCAACAAAAAAACCCTTAGTCTGGCACTTCCTTGTTTATGCCAGACATAAAAGGACAAATAAACTGTATGGTTCTACTTATATGAAGTATCTAAAATAGGCAAATTCATAGAGACAGAAGGTAGAAGAGTGGTTGCCAGGGGCTGGGAGAACGAGGAATGGGGAGTTATTGTTTAATGGGTACAGAATTTCAGTTTGGGATGATGAAAACTTCTGGAGATGGATAGCGGCAATTGTTGTACAACAATGTGAATATACACTTAAAAATGGTTAAAATGGCAAACACTTTGTTATATTAATATATATATTCTGCAAAATTAAAAAAAAATATGCTCACTTATCCTTCTTCTTTCCCCTTCCTTAAAATCCAGCAAGTCCAAAGCCATTAAGTGAGGCAAAGTGGGTGGATTATATAAGTGGGTGGGTGGGGTTAGGGAGAGGTGTCATGACCCAGCTGTCATGGCAGGTCCACAGTGTGAGGAGGGTAACCACACAGGGGTGGGAGGAGGTAGAAGGGATATAATGTAGATAGATCAAATATTGAGGACAATGAGAGCCAGATTTCTTTTTTTTTTGAGACAGAGTCTCACTCTGTTGCCCAGGCTAGAGTGAGTGCCGTGGCATCAGCTTAGTTCACAGCAACCTCAAACTCCTGATCCTTCTGCCTTAGCCTCCTGACTAGCTGGGCCTACAGGCACGCGCCACCATGCCCAGCTAATTTTATATATATATATTTATTTATGTTAGTTGTCCAGCTAATTTCTTTCTATTTTTTTTTAGTAGAGATAGGGTCTCACTCTTGCTCAAGCTGGTCTCGAACTCCTGAGCTCAAATGATCCTCCCACCTCGGCCTCTCAGAGTGCTAGGATTATAGGTGTGAGTCACTGCGCCCGGCTGAGAGCCAGATTTCTCAATGATGATGAAAGGAAGTATAAATATGGAAAGGGGGGAAAACTAAAATGAATCCTTTGGTGTTGGACTGGAATCAAAGATACTGATGCAACCTCATGGCTTTTTATACACACACACACACACCCCTGAGTGTATATACACATATGTGTTACGTACATACATGTATTTCCCAGCTTTGTTCACTAAGACAGATGTGAAATAGGTACACCTCAATGGCAATGAGAAGTACATTTAGCACACAGATCTTGACCTCTAAATACACACTCCACTAAAAATAACTGGAACTCCTTCTGTTTCACATTGAAGAAGACCAAAGACATGATAACTAAATGTGACACGTGATATTAGACCAGATCCTACTGTTAAAAAGAACACTGGATGTGGTGGCTAATGCCTGTAATCCTAGCACCCTGGGAGGGTGAGGACGGAAGATTGTTTGAAGGTCTGGAGTTTGATTCGAGACCAGCCTGAGTAAGAGCGAGATCCCACCTCTACAAAAAATAGAGGGTGTGAGTGGTAGCACGTGCCTGTATTCCCAGCTACTTGGGAGGCTGAGATAGGAGGATTGCTTGAGCCCAGGAGGTTGAAGGTGCAGTGAACTATAATGACACCACTGCATTCTTGCTAGGGTGACAGAGCAAGACTCTTGTTTCAAAAAAACAACAACATTGGGACAACTGGTAAAACTTGAACGAGGTCTGATATGGCCTTGAATATTTGTATCCTTTCCCTCTTCCATCTGTGATCTAGAAAGCTGGCCCTCACCAGACACTGAACATTCCAGTGCCCTGATCTTGGACTTCACAGCATGCAGAACTGTAAGAAATACATTTCTGTTGTTTATAAGCTACTCAGTTTGTGGTATTTTGTTATAGTAGCCTGAATGCACTAAGACACAGTATGAGACTTAGATGTATCAATGTTAATTTTCTGTGTTTTTAGTAATAGTGCAGTTATGTATGAGGATGTCTTTGTTTATAAGAAAGAGCATTAAGGTATTTAGGGCTGAAGGGGTAGCAAGTCAACTTGCACTGAAATGGCTCAGAAAACAAATTATATCAGTCTTGCAATTTTCCTGCCAAAATAAGAAAAAAAAAACCCTCAAAAGTAAAACAGCTAATTAATATGTTTAATTATTCATAAATCAAACATATTTTCTCCACATAAAAAGTGCTTACAACTAAATTAGCAAAATTATCTGACAACACTAGGTACAGGAAAACCAAGTAAACTCAATCTTTGCAGATGGTATTTAAATTTGTATAATTCCTTCACAGTTATGGGGGGGGGTTTGATAAAACATTAAAAGAGTCTGAAAAGGTCACACTCCTATTATAGTTGTCACTGTTCTAGTTTCATCCCCTTTCATATAATATTCTCAACTTATGGCAATTTATTTCAGAAAATAAATTTTAAAAAATAAAATATGTAAACATAAAAGCATTTTTAAATGGTAAAAAGGGAAAATAAACTCAGTATATAATAGGTAAGTGACTTTCCTAATTATAATATTTTAAAATGATGCAATGTTCCATCAATGTTACTAAGAACAGTAAATATTATTTTAGAAAAACTTGGAAACGGTGTTTCATCCCTTATAAGAAGTACTAAGTGAGGTTAGTAAAACAAAATTATGTAGTATGATCACAATTGGATCAAAAATATATATTTAGTCAATATAAACATCTTTAATAGAATTTATTGAACAGTGATTTGATAGATTACAGTTGTCAGATTACAGCTGGAAAATGTTTATTTCTGATTGTCTTTTGTAAGATTTAAAAGCTGATTTTATGTAAATCATATAGTGTATAAAATAGACCTCAATGAAGTTGTTACTAAAGAAAAAGTTAATTTTATAAGTAACTTTAAAAATAATAAATTTCCAATTACAAAAGTCCCTTTAGCTCTTGCAGCTGAAATGGCACAAGGAGTGCTTTTTCTTCATTTCTCAGGATCATACTCTCCACCCTGACATCCATTTGTGGGGTGTAGAGTATTAAGTTGGATTCTCAGAGAAATGATATAAACATAAAAAAATTAAAAACAGTTGGATGCTCCTAAGTTACAGAGTACCCGTATCTTGGTAAGTTCTTAATAAGGTGAAGCAGTCATCTAATATCAGATGTGCAAACAAGATAATTAAGAAAATTATATTTTGTACTCTTTGGATTTCTAATTTCAAAGGAAAAAACCTATCTATTATTAATTAGCAATTGATTTATTAATTCTTATAATTTGTGCATTCCTGAGAACTTTTGAAATAAAATTGCACATTTTTTCCATTACAAATATTTGTTCAATAATAAAATTACATATTTAACATTATTTCCTTAGAATATATGCCCAGAAATAAAACTGTTATAGAACCTACTGATATATAGCAACTACATACATTTTTAAACAAATGAAGAGAACCAATTTTTCTCAAAGAAATGACAATACTTTCACAAGACACGAGCATCCAAACTAATATTTACATAAATGAGTTATTAAATTATTGATCAGTAAATTAACTACATGAAAATATATAAAATATACTTTAAAATATAAAAACCATAAAAGAGAAAAAAATTACATAATATTTGATATAATTAATAACAAATATATAGTTTACCTGATAACATCCACTTCCCCAGTCTGGATAACTCAGCTTCCGCTCACACTTTTCCATGACAAATGCAGATTTCTGAATCAGACACACTGAATGAGGTCCATACTTTTCAGCACCATAGTTTTTAAGAATTTCTAAAGTAAATAAAAAAATTCTCCTCAAAAATTTATTTTTGGCTCAAAGAACACGCATTCCCTATTTATGATTAAAAGTTGCTTTAAAAATTAAATGTGTTTAATGGACATTTTAAATTTAAAAAAATTAAGATAAATAGGACTTCAAACTCAAACTGGGTTCTCAAGAAAGGGATTAGTGGGAGAAAATATATCAGAAGCAAGGGCTCAAAGTTATCTAGGTTAGATTTACAGAGGAACTGGCACTAAGAATTACTAGATCGCCAGGTGTGGTGGTGGCTGACGTCTATAATCCCAGCACTTTGGGAGGCAGGAAGATCACTTCAAGCCAGGAGTTTGAGACCAGCCTGGGCAACACAGTGAGACCTTGGCTCTAAAAAAAAAAAACCACTAGTTACCAAGGTAAGAATCACCTTCACTGGTAGTCTAAATAGGAGTCACTTCCAAGTGACTCACGATAGGATGAGGCCAAATGATTTATATTATGGAAGCTCTTTTGGGATGTTGTAACTTGGAAAACTTTCTTGTGCCACCTCCTGAAAATCCATAAATAACATGCTTAGTCTCAGACTAGGCACAAACATGCAGAGGTACAGGGTGGAATTAAGGACCTCTAAATACCTGATGGAATGAAGCTCTTAAACCCTAGCAATAATTTGCTCTTGCTACACTCTATATAACAAACTTCATTTTTTTTTTTTTTTGAGACAGAGTCTCACTCTGTTGCCCAGGCTAGAGTGCCATGGTGTCAGCCTAGCTCACAGCAACCTAAGACTCCTGGGCTCAAGCAATCCTCCTTTCCTCAGCCTCCCGAGTAGCTGGGACTACAGGTATGCCACACCATGCCCAGCTAATTTCCTCTATATGTTTTTAGTTGTCCAGCTAATTTCTTTCTATTTTTTTAGTAGAGATGGGGTCTTGCTCTTGCTCAGGCTGGTCTTGAACTCCTGAGCTCAAATGATCGGCTTGCCTCAGCCTCCCAGAGTACTAGGATTATAGGTGTGAGCCACCATGCCTGGTCCAAACTTCATTTTTTTTTTAAAGCAGAGAGTTTTGAAATATTATAAAGTATTTTATATCAGTTATGATAAATATTAATTATGTAAGCTAATAAAGAAAATGTAAAACAGAATAAAACAGAACTCTATATTTCTTTTATTTATGAGTTTCAAAGTCTTGAGGCTGGGCACAGTGGCTCACACCTGTAATCCTAGCACTCTGGGAGGCTGACGGGGTCGGATCGCTTGAGGCCAGGAGTTTGAGGTTGCAGTGAGCTATGATGATGCCACTGCACTCTAGCCCAGGTGACAAATCGAGACTCTGTCTCAAAGACAAACAAATAAACTCCCAAAGTCTCCAAAAAGCATAGCAAACTATAATCCTCAGGCCAAATCCTGACACATCCATTCATTTACATATTGTCCATAAGTTCTTTCACATTATAAATGCAGAGTTGAATAGCTGCTACAGAGAATTTATGAACTGCAGGGGCTAAAATATTTATATTTACAAAAAAAGTTTGTCCTTTACAAGAAAAAGTTTGCTGACCCCAGCTCTAAAACAAAAAAATGTGATAGTATATCTGTGGCAAATATCCATAATTGACAGATCTGTCCATTTCCTTTGCTCTAACATGTAACTGCTGAATATCATAAGTCTTTAGGATGTTTATCAAACAGGTGAGTGACAGAAAAAATGACTGCAGAAATCTAGTTAAATCTGCCAGGTTTAAGAATAAAAGGTAAAAATATCACAGAAATTTAAAATTTAAATGACTTAGTCTGTAATAAAGTATAGAATGGGGAGTGAGGGACCAGTTAAAAATTCTGATGACCACAAAGACAAAAAGTGCTTATTGCTCTTTATTAGTATATCAGATGTGAGAATATTTCTGCTTACAAAAGCAGTTAGTATGAACTATAACTATTATTGCAGAATACCCAACTGCCATATTGTTTATTCCTTTCATGTTCTGTTCATTTATATGTATTAAAAGGAAATAAATAATATGACAATATATCTTACTAGTCATGGGACAACAATATTATCTTGTATCTTGAAGAGTGACATGTTACTTCTAAATTACATATTAATAAAATGCACACTCCCAAAGAGAGGAAAAACTAGGTCACCTAAGGTGTTTTAATAAAGAGTCCTGTGTTGGAGGATCTTGCACTGATACCAATTAACTGCATCATTTATTGTCTGTTCACTCATCTGTGAAATATACTACCCGCCCTAAGTCTCTCATAAAGTTTTTAATTTTTTTTTCCCCCATTGGTCAGCTCTTAATCCTTTTCACCAGCTCCTCCTGCCAGGTTATCGTGGCCAAGTAAATGTGAGGCTAGGACAGCCCAGGCGAAGCTCCTTACATAAACGCCTCTCCCCCAGAAAGGATGCCTGGCCCCTCTACTCTAGGCTCGGCTGAGGGGAGGTGGAGTAGGCTGAGTCCACCCCCCAGGAAACCAAGCCAGTCATAAAGTTTTTAGAAGAATAAAAAGAAATGATAAAAATGAAAGTGCTCTACAAATGAAAAGTACAATGCAGATGTATGGTATTACTAAAATATAGTGCACACATGCACATGTGTATCTGATAGCTAACAATCTTCTCTATATATCATGCATAGTTCTAAGCACTTACTGTATTAATTCACTTATCTCACAACAACTCTATGAAATAAACATTATTATCCCCATGGTACAGATGAAGAAACAGGCAAAATTAAGTAAACTGTAACATAAACTCAGTCTGGCTCCAACGTATGTGCCCTTAATTGCTATTTTATGCTGTTAATATATAATTTTAATATGTATATAACACTTCATTTCACTAGACTACTAACCTGGTTGATTTTCCAATATTCTACAATCTGAGCTGCGCTGATATTCACCACTTAAATGCCAACTGAATTCCTGACTGAATGGGCAATAGTCAGCAATTTCTACTGAACCACCGTAATAAGGCAAATCTTCTGCAGGTATTCCATTGAGTTCATCAAAGTACTACAAAAAATTATTGGGAAGACGAGAGAGTAAGAAACATTCTGTATAATTAAAATAAAGTACACAGGCAATTTATAGCAACATTCTAATACTGTATAATACAAGATATAAATGTGCCTTTCCTTATAAACCACACAAAGACTACAGTAACATATCACCTGAGGAGTATTTTGAGGTTGCTATAGTTTTAGAAATAAGCAGGATAAGTAAATTAGTCTATTTATTAAAATAACAAATTTGACTAGTGTTTTAAAAGAATGAAATAGAATTACACTGAGCAAAAGGAAGTTTTAAGAGTTGACAAAACAGGCAGGGCATGGTGGCTCACGCCTGTAATCCTAGCACTCTGGGAGGCCAAGGCGGGAGGATTGCTTGAGCTCAGGTGTTGGAGACCAGCCTGAGCAAGAGTGAGACCTCGTCTCTACTAAAAATAGAAAGAAATTAGACAAACAACTAAAAATAGAAAAAATTATCTGGGCATGGTGGCGCGTGCCTGTAGTCCCAGCTACCTGGGAGGCTGAGTCAGGAGGATTGCTTGAGCCCAGGAGTTTGAGCTTGCTGTGAGATAGGCTGATGCCACAGCACTCTAGCCCAAGCAAGAGAGTGAGACTCTGTCTCCAAAAAAAAAAAAGTAAGAAAGAAAGAAAGAAAGAGTTGACAAAACAAACTAATGTATAGAATTGAGACATTTTCAACATGTACTTTTCAAGTATTTTTAGGAGATTTAATTTATATGTTGTTTTGACAACTTGAAAAAGTAAAAATCTGAGAAAATGAGATATATATATATATAAAATACTCTGAACACCAAAGGAGGAAGGCACCAGATAAATTTAAAGATTTCACATTTTACATCATCTTACTGCATTTTATTACCATACCTAGAAATACAGTTGCCATCTTATGGTGTCTCAAGCACTCAGCAGGGTCATGAATATATATAGGAAGCTCACCATTTTAAATTAGCTTCTGAGACATCATTTCTGACTAAAGAATCCTTGTAAATGGCAGGTAAAGCTGAGGCTTTTAAGAGATAGCCATGGCAACAAGAAACTTAAAGGTCAAATCAGAGATTCAGGCTGGACATGTGGGACTATTTCCTTCATCTTTCAGATCCCATGAATCAAATCTTTTCTAAAGCAGAACTTCCAAGTCTTCTAATTAATTGGTTTAGAATACTTAAGTTATTTTCTTCAAAGAATTTTATTTTCTGTGTAAATTAGAGGAATTTAAAGACAACGACTGTGGAAACAATTAGAAAATATAAAGTTAAAAAATATATGAAAACAAATATGCTAAATATCTCTTGCTGTTATAACAAGGCATTGCTAGATATTAACTAATACTATTGATTAGCATATTAGTTTTAAAGAAATAGAGGAATTATTAAGTTTTTTCTAGCTTATGGAAGAAAAATGGGGTCTTATAAAATTTAAAAACTTAATAGAATTCACTCTTCTAATTCAAAATGGAGACTACTTTTTTAAAAAGTGGATTCCTAAAATTGTGCACCAAACAAGTGTTACCTGGTACTCTTGTGGTAAAGGTTTAGGAAACTTCTGCAAATTACAAACTGCAACTGCTCTCTGGTCCTGTCTGCAAGTTAGCTGCAATGGATTACTTCTGAGCGTGTCACAGTAAGGGTTCAGCATCTGTCTCCTGCACACAAAGATAAGCACCATGATATCAAATTTTAAAGAAAATGTTACAAGTCCATTTCAGAGTTCGTCTTCTCAGTTATAATTTCAATATATTTTAAGTCTACAATTAATTGCTGAATCAGCTTACAAAGTTATTTTTCACAGAATAAAAGGAAATGCTTAATGTAGATGAGGAAGATTAATGCTAGATCCATTCTAACATTATTTCAGTTATTAAATGAAATACTATTTACCTTTCTTGACTTTTGCCAGTAAAACTAAGTTCTGCAGACCTGCTTTGCATTTTTTCTTTTTCTTTTTTTTTTTTTTTCCTTTTTGAGGCAGAGTCTCACTTTGTTGCCCAGGCTAGAGTGCTGTGGCGTCAGCGTTGCTCACAGCAACTTCAAACTCCTGAGCTCAAAATCAATCTTTCTGCCTCAGCCTCCTGAGTAGCTGGGACTACAGGCATATGCCACCATGCCCAGCTAATTTTTTCTATGTATTTTTAGTTGGCCAATTAATTTCTTTCTATTTTTAGTAGAGACGGGGTCTCACTGTTGCTCAGGCTGGTATTGGACTCCTGACCTTGAGTGATCCACCCGCCTTGGCTTCCCAGAGTGCCAGGATTACAGGCGTGAGCCACCACACTGAGGTCTTGCTATGTTGCCCAGGCTGGTCTTGAACTCCTGGGCTAAAGCAAGCTTCCCACCTCAGCCACGTGAGTAGCTAGGATTATAGGCACATGCCACAGTGCCCAGCTTGCTTTGTGTTTTTAATGTCAACTAATGAAATTTCAAATCTTGGCCTAAAAAAATAAAAATATTCATAATTACAAATGGAGTCTCAGAAAGAGATGGAAGTGATGCTCCTTTGCTCTGTAGCAACAAAGAATGAAATTTTTTCAATTCCATAATATAGTTTAAGGAATCTTATTTGACAATTCATTAAATTAAAAACATTCACAAGGCAATCTTGTTTTCCTGTGCAAAATGAAGATTGTATGAATATTCCTAATTGTCACCAATTTGTTCTGTTGTCTGTTAAATCTAATCTTGGAAGTATAATTTGAAAAAAAGGGTTTTATAAATTCTCAAAAGACAACAGAATCTGTTGCACTGTCCTGTAAAACTAACCTTCAAACAAACCAGTAATTCCAGCCATACAACTGACAATTTGTAATATACAAATAATGTTAATGTCATAATAGTAATGTTATAAATGAAATCTCAGCATTCCTAAACAATAGAAATCCTATTAATACTGGTCTGCCAAATTGTAATAGGATCACTGGTGCTTTTCCTCTTCTCCCGCATGTTTGTTAAGGAAAAAAAGCTTTTATTAGATTTCTTATTTTAAAGAAGATTGATATTGGTCTTTAAATTAACATAGTATATCAATAATACTCTTTAGGGAATTACAGCTTCCTAAGATAAAACATGTAAAATATCTACCACAGTCTTCAGTAAACTTGAAGCAGCACAGTATAATAGGAAAGCAAAGGGTTTGAAGTCATCACACAGGTTTAGGTTCAAAGCACTAGCCACTTATTTGGTATTTACTTAACTTTCCTGAGCTTCAACTACAAAGCACTTAGTGCCTAGCAGATACAAGCTACTCAATAAATGTAATTTCTACTGCCCATACTATTTTTATAAAATCTTCATATAAAACAATTTTATAACTTCCCATGATAAAGTTTCCAATGAATATGACCAGTAGTTCTTACTCACTTTCTTGATATCATGAAACTCATTTCCTTTTTTCTCTAAAAGAGTACATTATATAATAAATTATAAAAAATTAGTTTTGGCTAAATGAATAAAGAAGAACAAAGAAGCTAAATGAGTGATATAAAATTCCAAAGATAGAGTTGTTCAAGATTTAGGGCTTACAAATTCTAGAACTAACAGAACTATCTGCAATGATAGAAATGTTCTGTATCTGCACTGTCCAATATGGTAGCCACTAACTATATACGGTTATTAACCACTTGAAAGGTCACTATAAAGAACTAAACTTTAAATTTTACTCAACTTTAATTAATTGAAATATAAATTTAAATAGCCCCATGTGGCTAGTGTTACTATACTGGAGAGTACAGATCTAGAGCCAATATTAATGTCAAATGAGCTAGGCAGAAGAGCTGGGTAATTTATCACTTTTAGTTGCTTCAGACATAGAAAGAACCTTATTTTGAATGTGCATAGATTCAAGTGATTCCTTCTCACACTGGTTTCCCAACTATGGAGGAGATAAAGTTCAAAACTTAAGCCCCTGTGCTCAAGAAGGGTTGCAGTGGAATCCCTAATATAACTCACAAATATAGCTAGACTGAGCCTACGGTACCAGAAGATGGCTTCTGTCCTGTAAATAATTCTGAACTTGAATACTTCACAAATGAGACATTGAATGTTTATGAAATGGGTCCACAAATTCAACTCCTGGGTGAAATCCTGCCCACAACCTGTTTTGTTGATTGCTTGTTTTCCCCACAACCTGTTTTTATAAATAAAATATCCTTGGAACATGGCCACATCTATTTGTTTTGTCTCTTGCTATGTAAAATGAGGGCTGAGTAGTTGTGACAGGGATTGTAACAACCCTCAAAGTCCAAAATATTTACTATATAATTGTAACAACCTTCAAAGCCCAAAATATTTACTATATGGCCCTTTACAAAAAAAAGTTTGTTAATACTGGCTTATGATTCAAAGAAGAGGACAGAATTCAGGGCCCCACAGTTTTAGTTTTTAAGAATGGGGAAGTAGAAGTCTCCTTTTGTTTTTGGTCTTAATGATCTTATAATTGGGACAAAAAGGGAAATAAACAGAGTTGTAGCTGTTAAAGGGGAGAAAAAACTCCTCTCTAAGCTCTTATAGCTGCCTTGCTATATACTTCCTTTAACACATTGGAACAGGGGTTCGCAAACTTTCTTGCAAACTGAAATCACATGGGATTCTCTTAAAACAATCAAACAAAACCCCACACACCAGTGCCTGGCTCCCACCCAAGACATGATGATTTAATTAGTATGGGGTGCAACTTGGACATGGAGATTTTTTAAAAAGCTCTCTAGACGATTTTAATGAGCAGGAAAATTTGGGAACCACTACACTGGCAGATAAAGTTGTAGTGTTAGAGTAAACTATTCCAAAGTCACTGCAGGTGCTTCATGAAACTGCTTACTAGTTAGCAGTAGTTTTCACATCAGTAAGATGTCAGACTCCTTAACAGAAACTATGAGTGATTTAAATTGCTTTGTGCCCTAACCCAGGTTAAAAAACAAACAAACAAAAAAGGATGAGAATAACATCTATAACACAAGAAGGACCTGTGGCTTCATGGACAAGGCAATGGACTTGGAGAGAAAAGTTAAGGCCCAGCTCTGTCCTTATCAGCTATATGACCTTGGGAAAACCATTTGTTTTGACCTTTTTACTTTATCAGTAAAAGGAAGATACTAGTGCTTACTACTTTGGATTTTCCCTTTTAGGAATGATGAAATTATATACTGTTTGAAAGTTCTAATAATCATAAAATGCCAAATAAGTGGAATAATTCATCATCACAATTATTATTCTAAAGCACTGGTTCCTAAATGCAAGTCCATAAACTGAATGGATCACAATATCCTGGAGAAATTTAAAAAAAATAATATAAAAATAAAAATATAAGTCCCATTTCTAATTCCTGGAAGGTGGAGTAAACATACTTTTTCCTATTCCTCCCTTTAAGTACAACTAAAATCTCTGGACATTATAAATAAAACAAACATAAGAAGACTTTGAAAGGTAGAGAGAAAGCAGACTAGGTAGAGACTTCAGGACTCAAAGACTGATATGGTGGTGAATTTTCTCAACAGTTGATAGAAAAACTAGGCAAGAAATCAGCAAGGATACAGAATGACTTAACACAACCATCAACCAACAGGACATAATCGACATTTATACAACACTCCATCCAACAACAGCAGAGAATACACATTCTTTTCAAGTGCACATGGAACATTTATCAAGACAGATCATATCTTGGGCCATAAAACAAACCTCAGCAAATTTAAAAGAATTCAAATCTTAGAGTACATTCTCCACTACAACTCAACAAAAAAGGATAACAGGAAAAGTTCCAAATACTTGGAAACTAAACAACACACTTTTAAATAATTCATGGGTCAAAGAAAAAGTCTCAAAGGAAATTTTTAAAAAATACGTTGAATTGAATGAAAATAAAAAATATTTAAATCTGTGGGACAAAGTTAAAGAAATGCTGAAAGGAAAATATACAGCACTAATTACACACATTAGAAAAAGAAATGTCTTAAATTGGAAATCTCAAATCTAGAGAAAAGAGAAAACCCAAAAATAAACAGAAGGAAGAATATAATGAGGCACAGAAATCAATGAATTTGAAAACAGAAAAATAGAAGACATCAATGAAACAAAACACTGGTTCTGTAAGATTAATAAAATTAACAAACCTCTAGAAAGAAACAAAGAGAAGATGTAAATCAGGATTGAAATATCACTACAGCCCAACGGATATCAAAAGGCTAATAAGGGAATACCATAGCAACTCTGTACACATAACTTTGATAACTTAGACAAAAGGGACCAATTCCTCAAAAAACATATATTAACACAATTTATCCAATATGAAACAGATAATATGAATAGCCCTATACTGTTATAGGAGTTTAATTCATAATAATTCACAATTTAAAAACTCCCAAAAGAGAAATCTCCAGGCCCAGATCACCAATTCTACAGAATCTCTTCTATAAAATAGAAGGGGAGGAAATACTTCCCAATTCATTTTATGAAGCTAGTATTACTCTGATACAAAAACCAGACAAAGATAGTACAAAAAAGAAAACTAATTTTCTTTTCAAGAAAAATTATCAGGGATAAAGAGAGGAATTTAAAAAACGACAAAGGAGTCAGTACTCCAAGAAAACATAACAATCCTTCATGTGTATGCAACTAACAGTGAAGTCTCAAAATATGTGAGGCAAAAACTGAG